CAATGTGAATTTCAGAATGCTTCGAAGATATCCTTCGAAGATATATTGATTTAAATTATTGTAATTCAAAAACAAAAATAATGACATGGAGAGTCCTTTGAAATGATCAATACTTATTGATAATCAACACATAATGATCAACATTTTTCGTTCAGGATGTACAAGTCAAATCGAAAGAGAACTCACTCGGGCTGATGATTGACCTTTTCCGCGAAGAAAGCTCCTACACCTGCCGTGCAAGATGCAAAGTAGCTGTTGATGACGAGATCCGTCTCGACGGACACCTCATGGGACTCTAAAACGGCAAGCCTCTCGGCATCCACGTACGAGAAGACGACCATGACCGTCCCATTCACTGGAAAGTCAAAACGACTCGAAGAGTCCTCCATAAGAGAAGCGAAGAGAATGCAAGAGGGAATCCGTCTCACGAGTCACGTAGCTCTGAACGGCGATGACATTCGGAACCTGCAGCTCTGCCTCCACATATTGCCACCGGTCCAAGCGTAGAGACGCCACCTGCCTCCCACACCCACATCCACTCAGTGCCATTCATCACCACATATTAATTGATGATTGCCACTGTTCACTTGGTTTCCTACGAAACCTCTACACTGAACTAACTCCCTTCACCTTGTATTCCTTTGAAATTTACCTTTGCCCTTACCTCTTTCTGGGGTAAGAGCAAAGGGGATTCATCTGTTCTGAAACACCATTGAGATAAACTCCTCGCAATTTCACGAAACTCCAAGTGACCGCTGCGCCGTTCCGCTCTGAACGAAAGAAGAACGACATTCAAGTCCATCAATTTCCCTTCGTTGGAATCGTGTTCGGGAAATTCCCGTTGGAATATCCGAACCTGGAGACTCAGCAGCAGGCACAGGCGATTGCATTTTGACTTGAAAAACCAGATGCAATAGGTGTTGCCTAATAATCTGTTGGCTTTCCTTCATGAATCCATTGAATATATTATTCTTGCGAATGTATTATTCTTGCGAATGTATTATTCTTGCGAATGTATTATTCTTGCGAATGTATTATTCTTGCGAATGTATTATTCTTGCGAATGTATTATTCTTGCGAATGTATTATTCTTGTGAACATATTATTCTTGGACTCGATTAGACTGGGGGCCGGATGGAAGCCTTCAAGGGATATTAGTGACCAAAACACATACGTAACACCTAATCTTCAATGCAGCCAGGCTGAAATTCACGGTACTTTTCCGCAATCAACTGTTGACGAGGACTTCGCGTGCCGGACAAAATGGACTGAAGGGCCGGATACGGCCCGCTGGCCTCCAGTTTGATACCCCTTGTTTCAGCTATTCTCCGATCGTTAAAATCCGATAGGATCAACATGAATGAACCCTTCCAGACAAAAATTTTCGTTGGTTTATCGTTGGGCCATAGCTAGGGAAGTTGGTTCATCTTTGGCGAACGATTGGCTGGCCAACCCACACTTGTGAGTCACTTGTGAGTCACTTGTGAGTAGGCCGGCCAATCATTCGCCGAAGATGAGCCGATGTGACTGAGAAGCTTCCGAAAATCGGCGTGAGATGGAGCCGAAGTAGTCGCAGATGGGGAGTCGATTCCCGGGAATGAAATGAGTCCCCTGCCCCTTTCACGCAGTTCCCTACGGTTTCCCACGAAGACGATTGAATTCCTCATTTCTCTGTAGCTGTAACCTCGCCCTGGAATAAACCGAGAAAGTTCCTGCCCGGATGTCCGTGGGAGGATCCTTCTATCGATCCTTCCCACGCTAGGCCACCGGACTTCATCATCCCCTTCGAGACATTGAACTGTCGCATTGCGCGACCCGTGGGACAACCCTTGCATTCCCATGCGATTCTGGATGCCTTAACGTCCCGGAAAGGCTGTCGCTTTGGATGTGCTCAGCTCTTAGTGACAGGAGCGGACCCGTGTGAGGTACTCGGGCAAGGTACCGATTCCATCATTTCCTCCGGATGGAAAGGGAGCCAAAGGATTCATTCCATTTTCTCCGAGATGCACAATGCCATCGACGCGCCTCGAGTAGTTTTTTTTTTTTTTTTCCTTATATCTTTTCGCCATTGTGAAAAGTCGGCTCATGGTTGTGACCCTTGCGGCTTCCCAACAATGAGCCGAAGTTTGTCCCTTGATGGGCCAACGGGGCCGACCATAAGGCAACCGTCGACCATATGCCAGTGATGGCCCAACTACGGCTCATAGACGCGTCGACGAAAAGCCATCGATGGCCCGACGAAAAATCCTCGACTGGACTTACACAACCCTCTCCCTTCCCCCCTTTTCTTAAATCGTCGATGAAGACTTCGTCCAGAGTCACGACTGCGGCCAGTTCGTGATGAAAGTTACGATTCGGACGACAAAAAAAAGCGCATCCATAATGTCCCCTCATCGAAGAACTCCGATTCCCATCGCACAAAGATAAAATGATGATGCCAGACCAGGAATGACGCACGCTGACGTCAATATAGAAATTCCCGTCCCCCTTGCGCAATTCGAACGGTGGGAGAGAGCCCAAGTGATTCCTCCAGACTGGAAAATGCGGGGTGCGTGTTTTCGCTTTCGAATGAGAAGCAAAAACTGTCTCGACTGAGAGGGAATCAGGTAGATGTTTCCTTCGGATTCTTCGATCTGCCTCTAAATAAGTTGAATGCTCAGAAGCCAATTGAGGGGAAACGTATGAGCACGAAAAGAAATAAGAAGGAAATCTCCTCGTATTCGGCCTGAAAAGACACTTGCGGCTTCGATGTGACAGGTCTATGTCATTTATGGTACCCACACGAGACATGGTGAATGGAGGGATCTTCCTCGAAAATGCAGGGTTCCCGACTTTCTTTCGTTGAATCGGGTGAAGGGGGATCCCAATGGATCTCTCTCAGCTGACTGAATAATACCATATATAGTTGATATAGTTTTTAATACCATATATAGTTGAAGAATTACAACACCATAATATAAAATGGGGAACATTGGGGCAATTCATGTCATCACTGAAGAAGTTGGAAAGTAATAATCGTCGAGCATTCCCGACGACATCATCCCGTTTTCGTGGGTCCGGAGAAGGTGACTTATTGTACACCGTAGTTGGCGTGAACAACTGCAACCACGTGCTGCTGGGAAATTTTTTTAGAGGTCTCGGCGATATAAAAACGGATGATGAAACATGAACAGAAAAAAACATTTACCCATCTCTATTTCGACAGGTTTGCTGAAAGGAACTTCAGAGCTAACCCAAGGATCGCGACGATACAAATCACGAAACGCAGAATCAATACGTATCAGCTTTCGATCAAGTGAAAGTTGCATGGGAATCCCCAAGAATGTGTGATGCATTACGAACTAAGACGATGTTGTCATCGCACGCTCCTGCCATCTGTTCCACGTGTTCTTCATCCCACCAGACCATTATCTCGTGCAAGTGTTTTCCTTTCCATTCTGCTCCTTGCAGCGATATGGGTTACCATGATAATCAGCTCATACGTAGACAGTCACGGTTTCCATTCCACTAAACACTCCTATAGGAATCCAAGACAATCGAAATTCTGTTTCTTGAAAAAGAGAAATAAACAGAACGTATCTGTCAAGAATACGGGGTGATGGATATGCTACTTGCCCCAGAATATCATCAAACGATCAAATTCCCATTTAATATCTAATTATGTTAACCTGCTTTGCACTTAAAATTCTTATTATACTCTCAATAAGCGCATTCAAACTGTTATTCCGTTTGCTCCATCAAGAACAGAAAATGAAAAATGAAAAATGAACAGGTAAATGAATGAATCTGTTGAACTTTATTAACTTCAGGCTTCCTGGAAGATCTTGAAACCACCACCAAGGATGCATGGAATGAAGAGACCATCGGAAGAGTTGCCCCATTCCCCATTTTCGTCATATTCCCAGGTGCCTGGGAAGATGTAGACATTGTTTCTTTCGTCAATCGTCATGACCAAAGTGTTGTAGTTCACTCTATTACCGCCACTGCTCGTAAATAAAAATGTAGACAGCGAAATCCTCTCCCCTACAGCTAAAACGAAACCAAGACACTAAGTTAGTCGTGTCCCATGCACACCTCAGATGATTTAATGCAAATAAATAGCATGAAACTCACAGTCAGGGCTGAGAACGAGGAGGGATTGAAAGTTGGTGCCAATGGAGTCATCAATCAAATCAAATTGGCCTCTTGGATTTGCACAACCCTCGAACACAATCACCATCGTCAATTTCGCTCCTGCCAGTTCTGCCTCCAATACCGACGCGTAATCGATTAACTCCGTTCTACATCCAAGAATAATCCACGGTTATGCACAATATTTTCCCATTGAGACATCGTCTGATTTTTGACGGACCCACCGGTTGAAAGCAGGTGCAGAGAAAACAATACTTTCCCCCATGATGCATTGAAGCATAGTCACGTCCTTGATATCGCCGGAGTCCAAAGGGTTCACCGTGACGATCGTAACCTCCACTGTGTTGCCGCTGCCAGTGAAAATGTCCTGAATCACGAAGTCTCCAGCGGCTGAGGAAGATATAACCGATTTAGATCATTAAAAAGGGTATGGCATTCCCTATTGACCCAATCGAGGAAAATGAGTTACGGTTCACGAAGGACTGGTAGAACGTGAATTCGGTATATGTTCCAAAAGACTCTCGATACCAATTGACCACCTTAGCTCCAGCATACTGAAAGCCAAAAAGGGAAATTTGCAATCATGACCTCATCAAGTGGGAGGATATCGATGAGCTTCTGGTGAGAATTATGCATGGCAGGAAATTTCTCTATTCGATTAGAATGCAAAAAAAAACATCTCATCAACAGTTTATGAGTCGGTTGCGCTGTTAAACCCCAAGAATGAAAATTTCGTGGTCTTCCAGGAGACGTGCCATTCCCATAACATGTAAATCATTTCAATCAAGCCAGACGGATTGAGACTCGTTAGCAATATCCCCGGTAATGGAGCACAATAACCATATTCTTGTATACAACCTCGCATGAAGCCTTTTCAAACCGACTGAAAGTCGTGTCGCACGACAGTGTCCAATGTTGACTTCCAAGGTTCGATCAACGTGGAGCTGATGTTGGTTCAAAATGAAGCTGAGTGACAGACCTAAAAGGGCCCAGAGTTGGCGACTAACGTTTCCATATCGCATATGTGGTAATCCAACATGGTCTCTTCGCTGGTTCTAAGTTGGTGGGATGCTAGGGTTCTGCGCTGTGAATCACGCCTGTTTAGGGCTAAATTGATCGGATTATTGGCACTTAAGTTCCAGGATTACCTACACAAGTTATTAACCTGTATTGTGGCATGCATCAAGCAGAGCGATCACCAGGAGGCAAAGAGTTAAGAGCCCAAAGACGACAAGCGCACATTCTGCACGTGAAGGCCGATTTCAAATTGATGTTCAATATTTAATTGATGTTCAATATTTGATAGTCAATATTTGTCCAAACATTCCCCCTGATCGGTATTTGTGGATGTAAAATTTCGCCACAGTGGAGGAGTAATCGTTCGAAAATCATCGCAGTCATACTCACTTCGGCAGAAA